CTGTACTCACATTAGACTCTTGATGTACAGGCTTCTCACCGAACCCGTCATTATCGGCATTCAGTAAGGTTATACGACAGCTATCTTAATTTAGTGAATGACCATGTGCCACTACACATGCATCAGAGGAGCCTCCCTGTTGATGCCGGGGCGTTTTGACAGACACGTTATTGTAAACATTAAGTGAGGTGCTATTGCATCTGCCCTTACCCTTTAGATGTTTACGTGCCACTCCATGTATACATAAGGATGAAACTTTAAAATGAATCTTTTATTGTCTAGCAAAGGTAGGTTCACGACTCTCCAAAGCTTCGCCAGAAAGTTGTGCGTTGCGCCTAAGGTCTCGGACTTTCAACCAATCCATGGCTTGTGGCGTTTCAACCAAACTGTATTGAGAACAAGGTCATGTATCGAGTCCAATTTAATACAAGACGGCGTTCAATGCTGTCAAAATCCTCAGCATTTACGTCTAAACTCGACGGAACTTAAGGTTTGGTGACACGAGCGCCAGATTCTAGATGAACCGTGACAACATCAACTTCATACGATGTAAGCGCTTCAGCGTACCACTCACTTCATTTCAGGGAACGGCTTCAAACGTAGTCATTCGATGCCACGGAGTCAAGCGATATTGACAACTGATTTAACGCCGTTTGCGTTGCCAAGAAAAATGACAAGTCTAATTTTTAGTCACGCTTCGTGGTTGCGTCCACGAGATCGCTTGGGGCGAAGCTCTGTTCATCTCTACCTTCTAGAGCCTCTACAAAGCCTTTTTCTCCCCCGTAGGGTGGTCCGCGACTACTGGGAGTCGACGTTTTCGCGCGTCGTACCAGGTTTCCAGCTTAAGGCAATGTTACGGCTTGGCGGACTACGTTGCGGTTGAAGAAATGAAAATTTGGGGCGGAGATGCCTCGTGCTTTCGCACGTGTAAAACCTACGGATGTAACGTTGCCGTTTTTGCAGATTGAATTTAGGCTTTTTCACCGCCCGTATGACTGAGATAGATAGGCCGTTCCCTATCAAACGAATATTGAGCGTGCTCATGCATAACATTGCGAGGCGCTTTATTTTTCAAATCGGCGTTCAACGCTATGTCCACAACCTCCTCTAAGGTTAAGCGGTAGAAACGAAAACTTTGGTCCGAGCGACACCGGTAAAGAGACTATTAAAATAATGGTGACACGGACTTCCTCAGGGCGATGACCCATTTGCATAGCAGCACTTTAAGTTTTTCATTTCTGGATGTTATAAAAAATATTTTTTTTTCTTAGTCGGAGGATTAAAACGCGTAAACGCAATCGATAGCCTGCTAAGGCTGTGTACATACGCGAGACGTATGTCTCACAAGATAATCCTATGTGGGAAACGCGGCTTCTACAAATGCATTGCACATCAAAGCCCATTTTCGGGCTCTGACACCAAGTTTTACTACGGCTAGGACAATTCTCTGCTGCTTAGTTCGCATCATAATGGTGCTCATCGCCATTTCGACTTCTCGAATCCAAAGAATGATACATTTATCTTCCATCCTTTAAGCGTCGTTACGCATTGAACGAACGGGCAACTCTTTGGATCTTAATCGGGAATTGGGATTTAATGAGTCAGCATAGATGAAGCCACAAGATCATAGTCCTGCCCAACATTTGTGGCCTCAAATTGCATGAAAGATTCCAGTCGTGCGTTGACCACTTCCGGACCTTAGGTCTCAAAATTGGTCGATTTCTTTGACACCAATCAAACCTTTAGCTTCTCAAGAGCAAGGCTCTGAGTATAAGAGAGGTGAAAAAGGCTTTCAATTTCAACAGAGGTTTAGTCAATTTGTGACTACTGTGTGGGATTAACTACAAGGACTATCAATCGTAGTAGAGCTACACGGCTATTAGTCAGAGAAGAATTTGCAAGTGTGGAAGTCACTTGATTTTGCAAAAGTAATTTTATACTAGTTTAAAACGTCCTTAGTATTTAAAGGTAATTAATAACGACTCGCGGAGCCTTCAATCTCGTAGAGCTTTTATTCCTGGCCGGAAAGATTAATTACAACTCAAAGATTTGTACGCACACTATGCTCTCGTGTACACGACTCGAGCTGGATCTTACTTGTTACGATTGACTGACGTCTAACTATCCGAGGGCCAATCGACCATCAAATGGGAAACTGAACTTTTAAATTTGGTATCATTCGTAATAAACCTCATCAAACTACCCTATAATAAGGTTGAGTTAATTCGCATAGCAATCTTAGGTATTTTAAAGATTTATAGACGGTTCATTAATTATCATCAATGGATGAATGAGTTAATTAAGCACATCAATGATCACATTTTACACATGAAACTTTATCACATATACAAGGTATGTTCTATACGAACGACATTTGTTGTGTGACCCTGACCCAAGCAGCGCTTTTTGTTTGCTCTGAACACGATATATCACATTTACAATTTGTTCTCGTTCCGGTTTCACATCATGTCAAAACCACTCGCAAAAGTGACGATTTTGTCAACCTCCATGTTGTACCAAAACTGTAACGGGTCACCAAAAAAAAACTGCGCAACCAGTAAAGAGCTACCATCACCGATAGCAGCGTGAGCGGTGCCTCGCTACCTTAGGCAGAGGAGGTGAAAGCAACCAGGAAACTGAATAGTTGATGGTGAAAGTGAAACCTTATTGTTTACAATCAAGTCCTTATCATTAACCTATGTTTTTGTCCGAACTCAATTTCATGTAGCTACAGAAATGTACGCTAAAGTCTCGCTCACCACTCATTGCGCGCTCCCATCGTTGATTGGACGGCTGGAGCTGGCTGAAATGATCCATATCAGCCAATCGGTGAGTGTTTCTAAACATTAATCCTTTAGGTAATATCCACAAACCAATCACCCTTATTATAACATTTTAATTTACAAAAGTCAAGTGTTCATGACGTGTGACAGGCTCGCCCTGTTAGATGGCGCATACTCGAGCGTAAATTGTGCGCACGATTCTTAGAACGACGATTCCAAAAATTGTTAAAACTCCCTCGGACTGGGAATAGAAGCTCTACGAGCTTATAGACTCTTTAAGTCTTTGTTGATCATTTAGATTATCACCTTTGGGTGAATTTTTTTTATAAACAATTACAGCAAATTTTAATACATAAATAAAATTATTATAAAATAAATTATTTTAAAATTTAATCATAGGATAAATATTCGTTTACAAATCTGATTGATTTATTGAAATATTTATTAAAGGTTTCTCAGAAAAAAAATCGATTTTTCCCTAAACATGATCTTAAAAAACAATTTATAACTTTTTGATTAGTTTCCGGTTTAATTATATTTTAGGTAGTATGCAAATGTTTTTAAAATACATAATTAGAAATTAATATTATATTGACCAAACTTGTTGATATAAATATTATGTTGTAGATGTAGATTTATTAAATTAAATCCATTAAGGTAATGATTTTAAAAAATGAGCAATGACGTAAAAGTACTTCTAAGAACTGGAGACTCTTTAAACTAGTAGGAAAATATGTTAGTAGAACTATGTGACTTCTAGAGTCGTAAGTCTTCCTCTGACAAAGATCTGTGTAGCTTTACCAACCATCAACTAACCAGACTCTCCATGCAGGAATTTGGAGGTCACTACGAGGCAGTTCGCGCTCAATAGTGACATAATTAGGGCATTCGTTTTTGCGTGTGGAAGTTTTGCGCTTCCTGATTGCAAAAATCAATTATTCTTGATAAGTATCATGCTTGCGTCCATGGTACCGTGCAAGCCATTCTTTTTCACACTCCTACAATGTCATTAGATGATGTAAATCTCAATCGCCGTGTTGCATATCGTTAATCAACTGCGCGACGTGTCACCGGAACACTAAATCGACGAGCGGCTATAGACTAGGTTCTGAATTTTGAAAGGAAGGGGCTATAACGTAGCATATGGCCAGGTTCTGAATCCTAAAAGGAAGGTGGTTAACATATTGAGTGCTCAGCAAAAGGTTGCCTCGTTTAGGAGGGGGGGTCTGTGATTTCCACATTCTTTTGTATCTACCGCGACGTCTGGCTCGTATCTGACGAATCCCGTTGCATGTTCATGCTCTTGTTGATAAAACGGACCATAGTTTTTCATGAATTCCACGGATAAAAGATGTTGGTGACCCAAATACGTTTTTTGGTCCACCGGGCAAGATCCTGGAACGGGAAGCAACAACGAAGAATTATTTGTTACTGATCGTAGGTGAGCGTGCTAGCATGCTTTATTTTTGACTGTTCGTTGCACCTCTATCGTAAAATTCCAGACGATACAACACGAGGACATCTTTTGCAAGGGGATTTTGAGTCTTAACATATGCTCGCGTAAAAGTCGGGCGCAAGACCAGTCGAACGACTGGATGCAGCAGACTTTGACCGTGCCGAACTTGTGTTATGGTAGAAGCTTCACGACCCAAACGTGTTTGAGTCGTTAAAGATCTTGAAGAGACAAAATGTAATTCGGATGTGAAAAGCAGTTGCAGTGTTACTATTGCCAAGCGAGGCGACGCAAACGCAATCTTGACTCACAAAGTGACCCAAGGGTGGTGAAGTATCCATCGCAGAAGCCCACACAAGTTGGCATCGCTGCGCTCAGCATTTGAGTGGAGTTGCTATGAACCAATACAGTAGCCGATGCGTATTGGGATTGATGCTAGCGACATCGAAGCTGTGGACAAGAAACGCAACCTAAAGTGAGATGCAATGAGTTGTACAAGCTGTAAGATGGGTCACTTTATAAGCACGCAGACACAGACGCACAGCAAGTGTCGCAGTGCGTTGGTCGGTAGCACAATATGTGACCTCTTCAAGGTTTCAATCTCCCTACCCAACAAACCAGCAATCGTGCTGCTAGGTCCACAGAAGAATCAAAACAATGTCCAACAGAGACGAGCTTGTAAAACACTACATTTCACCGCAAGGATTAATAGTATAGGGTCGGAAGCTACAATGTCATTCGCGTGGAGCAAGTTGACTTGGAACTTACGCCCCTACCTTTATGATCGACGTCACGTTCAGCCAGTTCTCCCTCGGCAGCACCAAGATGCGTACGTCGTAGACCGAGGGCGACGTGCATTTCCCCTCACGACAGTAGCCCAAATCAATGTCCTGGTCCACGGGGCAGCCCTCCACTTGGTACGTGCGGTTCCTTCCAGCCAGAAACTCCAACGATATCGTCAGATATTCACTAAAGCAGATCCGTGTGGTCACGTCCGCATTGTACGAGCTCGGGTGGCATGCAGTCGTTGTCAGGAACGCGACTTCGTCTATGGTCATTGGTCGCGGATTGTAGTAGGCAGGGTCGATCGTTCCAGTAACCTGAGGCTGCCCCATGGAATCCTCAAGATCGTCAAATGCAGCAATCGAGGAAGATAGAGCCAGTCCAGTGAGTAGAGCAACCGAGCGGATGTACGTCATGTCAATGGAGGAGGTCGGGTTCTGGACGGATAGAATCACGACTGCAGAACTTGAGTTGGAGTGTGGTCTCAGACGCGAAAGTTGAGAAGTGTCTGTAGCCTCACGTCTAGCAGGAGGGGGGTGCCCATCCTTTTTGCGGCATCACGAACGACACGGAATGCGGGAATGGGAAAGAACAGAACATCTGCGAAATGTTGAGCGAAATATTCGGCCGCTGTTCGATTGTTACCAGAATTGGGTCGCTCCGTACCAATGGCTCTCCGGCTGCATGCTCCGGTTGCAACGCCTTCGTTATCACGACAAGAGCGCTCTGAGCGTGCCTTGTACGATCTCGGTGGGTGAAGCTTCGGCCTGTGGGTTACGGTAAAGCTTTGGCTGGTGGGTCATCAGTCGAAAATGTCTCCCTTTTTCGTCGTGTGTACGCCAGAAATCGTCATTCGCAACACAGCCGTACCGAGCTGCCACATTGTGGACGCGCCACCCCGTCGTACGATCGACTGTAGGTGTCACAGCGGATAGCACACGCTTGCGCATTTGTGACAAACTCTCCTCTTTCACCAGCTTTCTGCGACCGGAGAGGATACTAACGGACGGTCCAGGATGATTGAACTGACGCTAGTCGAAACACATTCATTGCGTGGGCGCAGAGCAAGCTTTCTCCACTCGCTGCAGTAGCCAGTGCGACCAAGACAGGTTCTGTCTCTCTGTCACAACACACTTTTTGCTTCAGTGCAAGGCGTGGCAGTTGATCGTACTAATGTGGGACAAAAGCAAAGAAAGCCCGATCCTGCACTCCGATTCCATGAGGTGTACCCGATGCCATGACTTTAAGTGCAGCACAGAGTCAGCTGGTACCCACAGTCTGTCGCATGAATCCATCAGCATCGAGACTCCTTAGGGTCCAATCGTGCGCTCGTAAGCTTCCAATTGTCACTGTGATTACGGCATCAGCTATTTCGTGGACTCTGGTCATCAGCTGCAATGCACTGATGCTGGTTCAAGCTGCAATCAACAACAAAACGAAGGCGGGCGCTGAACTGCCACAGTCCATGTCACAATCTCTGTCACAATTTGTGTCACAATCCAAGATGCTACTATCTGCTGAGTGCAACTTCAGCCACAAAAAGGTATGCGAAAAGCGACATCAGGCACGGAAGGGATTGTAACGATTCAACACTATTCCTGGTGCCTCTATTCCGGATATTAAGGCGCCGTCCTATCCAGTCGACAACGAAATCGTCATTTGCGCCCTGTATGGATTCGACATGCCACGTACGTCCTTCTTTGCAAACGACTTTCCATGGACAATGCACGGCGTAAGGGATCACTGCACCCACCGTTGCGAAGGACATCGCTGCAAAGCATGCAACATGGATTCGTGACTACTGTAGTGGAACTCCTGTCCAGCGTGCGATCTCCTACAAACCTCTTCAGGACAAATGCCGCAAGGTCATGTTACAACGTCGTTTAGTATGCACCGTGGGGATCGTTGTCTGTCGGTCTAGTCTTCTCTTTGAAGCTTACCAAGCGGCAGTGCATCGTCGCTGCCACTTCCCATCGACGCTTGTATTGGAAACAAGCTACACCCGAATAATGACAGCACACGGCCTACAAGTCAGTGTGCTTCCCAGTTCGACCCATCGCGATGCCGTTGATGACGCGTGGACACTTACATTGTACATAGCAAAGCAATCAGTACGACGGTTGTGAATTCGATGTCACGGCAAAAACGCACTCCCTACGCTTGGACGACGTCGGTGAGTGAAGCCTCAGCTCGTGGGTTGTTGATCACAGAGATCTGCCCTCCTCCGTCTGTTCACGCCAAAGTCGCCACTACAACACAGATGTATCGAGTTGCTATGATGTGTCCGATGCAATGGATCCTTGCATCGTCAACTGTCATTGCGATCAGTCATACTGAGACAAACGAACGGATGGCATATCATGCAACCGTCATTAGCGTGCGGTCTTCGGAACTGCTTGCAACGATTCCACGGTCTTCAACTACGTTCTACTATTCACTGCCAAGGACGACTGCACGGTCTACTAATCCGTTCGTTTCAAGCTCTGCAGTCGTGATCTAAACAGCCCAAGGCCACCCGACCTCCTCCACTGACATGACGTACATCCGCTCGTTTGCCCTTCCTGCTGGACTGGCTCTATCTTCGACAGATGCCCAAGGGCTACTACCAGAGCCTGACGCGATGGTGGGTAGCTACAGCGCGTCACGAGCTATGACCCTGAACGAGGTCGCGTTCCTGACGACGACTGCATGCCATCCAAGCCTGTACAATGCGGACGTGACCATCCGCATCTGCTTTACAGAATTTGGAAAGGTGGCGACGCAGGACATGCTTGGTACGAACTACAGGTACGAAGTGAAGGGCTGCTGTGTGGACGGGAACGAACTCTTGGGCTTCTGCCGCCCTGGCGTTTGCCACACGCCCTCGGACTACGAAGTCACCATCTACAACCAGGAGTCGCCGGCGATGGTGAATGTGTCGTCTATCAAGGAGATACAGCCTAAAAGCCAGTAAACTTGCTTCAAGCGCAACGACAACGTAGCTTTCAACTCTATACTTCTAACTGTTTCGTTAAAACAATAGTGGTTGACAAACTCGTCACTTTGAAAGTTGTTTTGATCTGTTGTGGACTAAGAAGACCCTTCGCTGATTTATTGAAGGGCGGAGATAGGACCTTTGTTAAGGTCAATTGCCATGTTGTCCAGAGGATATACATCGTGTCGCATGTGAGTGGTTAGGTGTCTGCGTGCAAAAGAAGCACCCACCATGCAGCTTGTAGTAATCGTTTCCATCTGGCTGAGGCTTGGCTGTATTTTCCCGCACTTTGCATCGATAGAGATGCACAATGAGTACTACATCGGCGCTTGCCAACTCCACCGAAACATAAGCGAAGGTCAAATATGATTGCGAACCCGAAGCGTAAAGCTATTAGTGACTGTGCGCAAGGTGAATATGGAGCTTTTTATTGTACTTATCTGTGTGTGTGTGTCTATCATAACGCGGTTAGGTGTACTTTTCACGCATTAAGTGCGATCTAGTTTGTGGCCTCTCATAGGTATGTTGGCACATACGAAGTCACTCTTTGGCTGGGTCAACATTGTGATGCACGCATGTGATTGATTTGTAATTGGTCAAAAGGTGAATATGGTCACGAGCATATATGCGTATCCAAGGTCACCCTTTGGCTAGGTCACCATTGTAGCGCAAGCTTGTCAATGGCTTAAGATCGATCAAAAGTGCAAGCGGTCACAAAATCAATTGCTGGACGCTCATAAGCACAGGCTGATCACGTTCCTCGAGTACACTGTACTAGGTTACTACATACATTAACAGCATCGTACGCATTCTTCGGTGAGTGGTGTAGTATAATGTTTTGCAACTTGATTGAGATCTACGAACTGGATTACTTACATCTAAGGGCGAGCTCCAGAGCTTGCTCTCCTATCTTACTCACTAAAGTGCGCCAAGGCAGCGAAATAACTCGAGAAAAAGTTAATTATTTGAAATCCCGCCTACGTTAGTAGTTCTGTGACACCAAAGATAAATTTTTGGCTGCATATCATTGGCTCATGATCTTGAGATAATCAGGTCATTGGCGAAGACGAGTTGTAACGGGCAACCTTCCTTTGGAGTGCTACGTACTTCACGTACGCTAGTACGTGTACAGGAAGCTAATTTACTCATCCAGCTAATTGGAGTAAAAGGTAAAAAGAGAACTGCATTTAATATGGTTAAGCTATCAACATAACTTCAGTCTTTATCGAACTAGATAGATCTACATGTCGTACGACGACAACCTGCTGACCGCTCATTACGCGCGCCCAGCGGCGATTGGTGGTAACCTTGGTTAACATGTCTTTATCAACCAATCTTTGAGTAGCGCATGAATATTATCGTACAAGGGGATGAGATTCCTTTAATATTGTCCATCTCGGATAGTATGGGCAGTAATTGTCACGCTGGACAATTTCCCCATTGACACCTTTAATGTCAATATCATGTAACGGACTACCCCGTTAGATCACCCCCCCCCTTAACCATCAATCACCCGTTAGGTAAAGTTAACTGATAGGGACAGGATGACCACCGTTACATCACCCTGAAAAAGGGAGCACTTATTGGCCAGTTTCATTCATTTGCCAATCCAACGCATGATTTCAAAAACTACGCGAGCTGCTACTGCAGCAGCAAGAAGGGCGCCTGCACGCATGCGTGCGGCCGCGGAAAGTGCCTCTCACACCTCAGCAGCAGGCGATTCGTCGCCTGTTGTCGTGAATCCTCCAAGTGGTGAGTTAACACGTGCGACAGGTACATTCGTTGAGTCTGCAGCGGGTACCTCGAATCATGTTTAGACGAGTCTGAGATAGAGCTCATCTTTTCTGGCGAGTCGAATGCATCATTCGACTCGAAGGCGACTCCTCACGCCTCGGGATCACCCGGACCGGACGCTGCAAAAGCCAGGCTGACTGGCTCTGGCCAACGCGGCAGCATGATGACCGATATCTTCGGATCGAGTGATTATCCGATCAGTCTCCACCTCACGCAAGTCCATCCAACGATAGGACGCGTGAAGATGGTGGTGATGCACCTATACAACAACGCGAGCGAAGTAACTCGAGCGATCGGGGCAACACTGGTGTCAGTGCTCATGCTGGCATCAATCAAGAGGCCAGGAACCGGAATGCCCTGCCCCACGATCCCCAAGTGGAGTGTCCGTGGATGCCGCCATCTAGAGAGTTGGACTGGACGGCCGTCACGACTACCGAACGGGAGCGAATCCAGTTGTTCGATTGCAGGAAGATTTGTCCACCTAAATTCTGGCACGGAAACTATCCGTGCTGATGAAGAGTTCTTCACCGATGCATTTTCAAACATCAGTGGTACAATGGTAGCCGTGTTCGGGACGGCAAAGCCTTGGTGCAGGGATAAAATGCCCTCGTCCCCAACATCGAGTGCATTGGCCGTAAGTTCTGGCTCGGTAAACTTGATGCAGCTCGCATCAGGGTTGAGAAATGCAACCCAGTCGGGGCGCGATAAAAGTTGACTCGGATTTCAAGAGAGGCAGGATTACCCTGTCTCACGTGGGGTGATTCGTATCCAGGTTGCTTGGACAACTCGAGCCGTGCTTCTAGGGAGGCCTACCTCCTTCATGATCCCTACTGGAGGGCGCGCATCTCTTCCGAGACGGCCAAAGTGTTTAACACCTTGTAATCCCCGTACTCGCGATCGGGGACGTCGTATTCCGACGGCCCTTCTTCAAACGCAGCGAATGGGTCTCGTCGTACTGCTCGACGAGACCAAAAACATCAACAATCAGCTGGGCACGAGGCTACCAGCTGTCCCACGCCGGTGGACAGCTACGCTAGCGGACGAGGTAGCTCGTCCGGACGCCATTTACTTCGCGGTGGTTCAAAATACGCTCCACTTGGAAGCGTTGATCACCGCTTGAGTCCACCAAAGGATGTGGTGGCGGTGGAAACACCTAATCCGGCTCGAGGGTCGAGTCGACTTGATCTTCAAGATCTGAACCGTCTAACGAAACAATTTCAAGATGACCTGGCTCATGAACGATGTCGGCTTTATGGTCTTGAGGATCTTGAAAGAAACAATTACAATTCGTTAGCGCACGATCTTTCGGACGACCGTGCCACTTTTGCGTTCGTGCAACTTGAAAGCGAACGTTCGACTCGTTCTCTTCGTGTGAACTGGCTGTATCTTGTCGAGACATCGCTGAGCTGCGTGAACAGGTCGCTTCGCTAGTCGACCAAACTGGCTTGTGAAACGGGACCACTCGAAGGTGGTCTCGGCTCTCGACCGCGGAGGTGTTCTTCGCATCTCGAAACGGGCTCGTACTGATAGTACGGGCGGAGACGACCGACGTAAAAAGTTGGATGCGTGCGCATACCACGAGTCAGTACAATCGTGTATGCGTTGCCCATTCGTCGCAACACACGAAATGGACCGATATACTTGGGCAGTAATTTATTGCTGTCGACGTTTGTCACTGTGTGATTCGGTAGATTTACTGTTGACAATAAAACTAAGTCTCCTGCATTGAATGAAAGAAAATTTGATCTTCCGTGATTGCCTGCGTTTCTTTTCTGCTTGTCTATTGTATCTGCAATAGAATCTTGAGCGAAGCAGACAACCGCTTCGCGAGTCAGCAGTTATTCCTCTGCTGATTCATCCTTGTCAACAGCAGTGCACTTCGTGTGCACTGCTGAACGAACGTTGTCCTCACCAGTGAGGGCGTCATCGTCCTCAGTATAGCAGTAATTGGCGATGCTGAATATGCCAGCATTGTCGTCATCGTCATCGTCGACATCGATCGCATCGACATCGGCATCCAACACGTCGACACCATTGTCGACGGGTGATGAGCAAGAACCAGATCGATTTTTTAAGCGATTCCACCCCGCCCTACAAGCTAAAGTCACACTCTAAGAAGGCGGGTAAACGTGGATTGCGTAGGCCATTCACGAAGAACGGTGCATGCGTTGTCGACGCATGCACGAGTTGTTGATAGGGAATGTTGCCATCGGCAAGAACTCACTCCAATTCGTAAACAAGTAAACGTACCCTCAAAGTACTTCTTCGAGGACGCGGTTGACGCGTTCCGTCTGATTATCTGTTTTTGTCTGGTCAGAATTTGACATCGTCAAACGTGTTCCAATTGAACAGACACGAATTATCAGAACTCCGCTGTGAAGCGGGGGTCTCGATCAGACACAAGTTTACGGGGTAGCCCATGAATTCAGAAGATAGTATTGGCAAAGACACGAGCACATCCCTGGGCTGTGATTGACTCCGGTACAGCAACAGGATGTACCAACTTACTGAACCGATCAGCAAACACAAGAATACCAGTATTCTTGTGTTTGCTGATCGGTTCAGTAAGTGGGAACCCGAAGACGAAGTCCATTGATACGGACTGCCAACACTCTGCCAGAATCGGAAGAGGCTGCAAGGGTGCGCGGGATGAAGGAATAGGCTTCACTCGTTGGCAAACTTCGCGAGCGCGAATGTATTTCCGCACAAACTCATACTGGCGGGGCCAGTAGAAGTCACGAATTACCGTGATGTAAGTCTTTTTCTACCGCGAGTGCCCACTGGTCGGGGAATCTTGACACTCATACATGATGCGCAATAGCAAAATTATTAAGAGCCGAAACGACGACATGAGGTGTGTTGCCGTTGACTGCTGTATATTACAGAAGTACATCACGGACAGAATACCGTTCGGTTGAAGAGCGGCATTAAGACGACAAGCCTCCAAAGCTTGACTGCATGAATTAAACACGCAATTCCAATAATCGCAGAAGAGAATCATCGTCTGTGTTTGCTTTAGCACGTCGTCGAGCAGGTTCGACGACCGAACACTCAATGTTAGTGTTGCGACAGTGGGATCACCCCTACTGTTGGGTTGAGCAGTCGGCTCATCGGGCCGACGCAAAAGAGCATCAGCGACGACATTAAGTCGTCCTGGTTTCTACTCGACACAGAGGTTGTACTCCGCGAAGAAAGACAGCCACCTCGCAATTCGTTGCAAGAGATGTGGACTGTTTACGGCCGTGCGTAAGGACGCATGGTCGGTATGAATGGCAAAGTACCTATCTCCTAGGAGGTATACCCGAAACTTAGCCAGTGCATATTTCATGGCGAGGCGTTCCTTGTCATGCACCGGGTAATTTAGATCAGCTGCTTGCAGCTGACGCGATTGATAGCAGACAACGCGCTCAACGCCGTCTGAGTCGTAATGCATCAACACGCAGCCGATTGGAAAATTGCTGGCGTCACAGACCACATGGAATGGTCTGTCCTCTGCACTCTCCGACACAGGCGTTTGTATCAAGCTTTTCTTGTTGCCTTCAAAATAGTGTTGACACTCAGCGCTCCATGACTACCGTCCATTTTTCTTTAGCAGACGAGAGAGATGTACGGTCATTTCTTCATAGTTGCGCGAGTGTTTGTGCAAGTACGCCGATAAGCCAAGGAACTTTTGAAGCTCTTGACTTTATCTGGCACAGGCCAGTTGCTCATCGCCTTTATCTTTTCCGGATCAGGAAGTACACCGTTTTAATCCACGATGCAGCCAAGAAGTGGTATTTCGTGCGCTGCGAATATACACTTCTTGAGGTTCGTGAACAACTTATGCTCTCGCATAAGTGCAAGAACCTTCCGGACGTGAATTCTTTGAACCTCCACATCTGATCCATAGCCCGTTTGTGAACGAAGCCATCGTCGAAGTAACTCGGTGCGAATTCGCGCACAGATCGCAACATATTCGTAACACATCTGTTAAACGTTGCAGGGAGATATTTAGCCTCTTTGGCATTACTAGACACTCCCATAGCATACCACTGGGGGTGCTCACTACTGTGTAAGGAATATCTCGTTCACGCATAAGGATCTGATAGAATCAATCAAATAATTCCATGGACGAAAAGATGATACTTTTTTCCATAACATCTATGATGACGTCCTTCCTTGGTATTGGAGTTTGAACCGGTACCGTTGCAGCGTTTAATTTGTTGAACGCGTGCACTATCCGCCACCCTCCTGTGGCCTTCCTCCCACAGAAGGTAAGAGAGCTGTGTGGGGGATGTAGATTCCCTCTCATGACCAGCCGATAAGCGATCGGCAAAGAACTTGTCGATCGCTACTACCTGTTCACGAGGCAGTGGCCACTGCTTCATGACACAGTACTTCGAAACGGGCTTCAGTTCGATCTCATGCCGAGTGCCTTTGTCTTTGGGCAACTCGCATGGCACGGATTCCAGGAAAACATCCCTGAATTCCACCAAATCCTTATACAAAGGATTTGTCTTTAAAAACTCCCAAGATTGAGACGTGTATCGCTCAATACGGGTCTTCTCATCGAGGATACTCTCGTCCATGGGTGAGCTACTGGGAACCCGTTCGTTCTCAGCAAACATTTGTGCCGACTGAATATCGGCGACGTCCTCGTCCCCTGTGACGGGTAAGCAGATCTGCTTGATCTTGTCACTACGCAGATCTCGCAAGAATCTTTTAAATTCTAGCGTTGGCAACTTTACCACCTTCGAAGCTGACGTCGGAGGTGCAACCAGATGAAGTGTATAAGCGCCTACACTTGATCACTCTCAGATACGCTAGCGTCTATCAATACGTGTACAGACTGTGGATGCGCCACCACAGTCACGTCCTCTTCGATCGACTTTTTTTCAGTCGATCGGGTTTGCTCTGCGATCGACTCTCTGTTAGTCGATCACGCTTCAACGTGCGGTTCATCCTGACCAACACTAATCTCTCTTTTGGGATGCGCCTTTCTTGGTGTGCATCCGTGTTCCAGTCCACTCGATCCCTTTGAGTGGTGAACCTTTGGCGCAGCCTGTGTCTCTACACAGGTGCCGGAAGCTGGTTCCACAGTGTAGTGGACTTCTACACTGTGATCTTGTGCAATCGTGCTAACAGCCGTACCACAAGTGAGGCCATCGCACTCACTCGTAGTACATCAACACGCTTGTGGACGCTCCAAAACGTTCATCAGATGACCATCCAATGAACATACGGCAGGCATCTTCACGGGTCGGTGCTGCCAGCTGATCCATGGCTGGTATTTTCGAATCTATTGCACACCGAGGATTACATCAAATTTTTCATCCAGATCCAGTAGGTCATCATCGCAATGCTTTCCTTATAGCGTGTAGTGGATTCCCGCTACAAATTTGTTTACTGTGACGGATGCGCCTGTAGCAAGACACACCGTCATCCTCGTAAAAGGGAACTCTCGCTCAACATAGATGAGCCTACTATCTTCTAGCGACTGGCGTCGAATAATCTGTCCGACGCCCCACAGTAAACTACGGCGCGAAGTGACATTCCACTTGTCACTTCGATCTCCAAAGTGTTTAGTGAAACCTCATCACTAAGGGTAGTAACATACAGAGACTGTGTGTTAGGAGCAATCTCCGTCAAGAGTCCTGCAAATTCTCTTGACGTTGCTGGATCAGCCGAGTGCTCCGTTCCTACTGACCCTGACCGTTTTTTGGCGGTCCGACTTGCTGTCGCGGTTTAGCGATATGGTCGGAACCACGCCTCGGACCCTTCCTTGGCCAACGGCGGTCATCACGTCCTGTCTTTGGGCGTGTTGCGCTGCTTGGGACACCACACTCATGAGATTAGTGCCCGATCTTCTTACAGCGATGGCATCTTGCCGTTCGCTCGTGAATCGTAGAGAGAGATTTCTCGCTCTCGATGTAACAGAGGTCCATTGCTTCGGGACCTCCTGTTTCCTGTCGCCTCGTAGGACGATAGTTTGACGAGTTAGCCTGAGACTGTCTCAGGCTGAAGTCTTCTTGTTACGCATACGATATCGCCTTTTCCAGCGTATGGAAGTCCTCTCGGAACATGTAGGTCTTCACCGGCCCATCTAGAAAGCCGTAGATGAACACGTGGATAAGCGTGTGCTCATCAACAGGGTTTTCCGTGACGCTACTCGCAAGGTAGCGTGGCTTTTGTGCGTATGCGTGCACATCACGCTTACCTTGCTTGAGCCTCAGGCGTAAAGAGCGTGCTTTGAACTCGGCTCTCGGCGGCTCAAACGTCTCTTTGAGCCGAGACTTCATGATCTCTAACGAATCAAACACGTTTGGGTCGTGAAGCTTGAGCCCTAAGGCCCAAGTCTTTGCTTGTCCTGTCAAATTTGACAGGGCGAAGGTGACTTGCATCTCGTCACAGTTGATGTGACGGGCCCTTATGGCGTCGTCTAACTCGACGAACCATCTCAAAAGGGAATCTGAATCGGTTTCCTTGTAACTTAAGATAATACTCTTCAAGGTTTTGGGTTGACGCATGTGCGTCGGCCGCCCATCGACTGATGAGAGCCTTGCTGTTGTAGCAAGGCTATCTTCTGACTTTCGACGGCAAGTTCATCTTGTAGGACCTTGTTGATAGCAAAATGTTGCTTGTCTCTGTTTGGAGACTCCAACATGCAACTGATGGCGGGTTCGCCCATGAACACACACATGCGGCCGACTTCCTCCCGTTCTGAGTCACTCAGATGAGAGTATCCTTCACATGTGACGTGAAAGCTGTCGTCTTCTATGTCTAACACTGTCATGTTAAACGGACACTAAGTAGTCGTTCGACGGACTACGAAGTGCTACCAGGTGTAACAGGGCACCCTTTGCTTGGGGTGCTACGCAACTTCACGTACACTCGTACGTGCAGAGGAAGCTAATCTACTGTAACGACTCGGTCAAGTAAAGGTAAAAAGAGAACTGTATTTAATATAGTGAAGCTATCCATATTACTTCAATCTTTATCTAACTATATTTAACTACGCCGTCGTATGACGACAACCTGCTCACCACTCATTGTGCGCGTCTAGCAGTTATTGGTGGAAATTCATGGTAAATATGTCTTGTATCAACCAATCTTGGAGCAGCGCATGAATATTTTTGTACAAGGGGATGATATTCCTTCAATACTATCCATCTCGGATAATACTGGTAGAATATTGTCATGCTAGACAATATTCCTATTGATACCGTTTGGTGTCAATATCATGTTACGGGCTACCCCGTCACAGCAAGAGCGTTCTCCAAACATATTAAATGGCCGCTGTCTCCGGTACACTCCGTAAAAAATTCGTGGATCATCGGGTGGTTGAGAAACACTGAAGTGCGATGATGCGTGCGCTCCCAGTATTGAGACCTTGCTCATGCGATACCCGTAGCTCAAGTAAAAAACCTTGTACAAGCCAATGGAACCATTGCCGACTTAGTAGAGGCGAATAGCAGAAGCTCTGGGCGCAGCGGAGACTTGGTCAGCCCCAAAAACTAAATTGGACTGTGTCAATGTCCACACATACATGTACCGAAATGGTTTAATAATCCTAAACGGTAGGAGGTGACGCTTAGTCATGTTATAGGATGAAGCGGACTGTTCGCTAACATTGTAAACATTCGGTCCATTTGTATTGCTCGCATGGCACGATGTCATGTACCGCTGTCGACAAATTTGCCATCTATCAGGACAAATGCATTTCACGACTCAAAAATAACTGATTACATGTATTTGTACACTCGGAGCTGCAGTTGGATACCGATTATCTTGGAGCGTCTCCGGCCGTGAGGATACCTTAACTTTTATGCGCCAATCAGAGTAACTTTTTCTCAAACTTAGATGCGACAAACGTCACAGCAGTCATAATAACATTATATTATAGGCTTATTTAGACCGAACGTGACTGGTAAAGTTGTGGTGTAACGGGGTGAATCGTTACATAACAAATTATAAGAAATTGTTAATAGAATATAACTATAAGAGTTATATTCTCGGAATATTGTCATAAGGACAAATATTCTGTAGCACTTACGAGTTGTTCCTAATTGGTTGATATAGGCCATTATATCAGCCAACGAAGACGCGCCACGACAGACGCACGCAATGAGTGGTGAGCAGATAAGTGACTTACACATCTGTATTTAGACATAGTTAGATGAAGATAAATAGTGATTTATTGCAGACATTAACTATTATAAATACAGTTCTACTTTTTACTCTAACCGAGTACTCGCTTCTTCTTACCGTCTTCCTCTGCACGTACGAGTGTACGTGAAGTTACGAGGCACCGCCTTATTCTGTTATCAGAATAAGTAGCTTGTACTGTCATCAGTACAAGCTTCAGGGTGCCCCGTTACACCTGGTAGCACTTCGTAGTCTGTCCAAGGACCGCGTTCACATCCAACATGAATATGTTGGATGATGAAGATGACCAAAGCTTTCACGCTACGCGTGACGGCTACTCCCATTTGAGCGATTTCGAATGGGATGCGGTTGAGCGAATGGGTTCGACCATGGGCATCCATGCTGTTAGCGTCATGCTAGAGGCTCTCAATAGAGATGCCCAACATGCTACTATCGCCAATTTCATTCAAAGTGAACTTGACGCTGAACGCGAGAAAGTAGCCTTGCTTCACCAACAAGGTTCTCAACAAGCAGAGTTGTTGAGAGAACAGGGTGCTCAACAGTTTGAACTGTTGAGACAGCAGCAGGCTGCTGCTGGTGGGTCGATGCACTCGCGTCGACCCGAGACTTTGAAGATTGACATCTCTAAGTATAGGGGAGTCGAAGAAGACTCCCTCTTGAGATGGTTCGTCGAATTGGATGACGCCATAAGGGCGCGTCGCATCGACGACGGGGATATGCAAGTTGCATCTGCCCAGTCAAATCTGGCAGGACGTGCCAAGACTTGGGCACTGGGGCTCAAGTTGCACGACCCATATGCGTTTGGGTCGTTGGAAGTCTTCAAGTCGCGGCTCAGACAAACGTTTGAACCGCCTAGAGCTGAGTTCAGGGCTCGAACCGAACTCTTGAAGCTCAAACAGGGTAAGCGTGATGTGCACGCTTACGCTCAACATATACGACATCTCACGAGTTGTATAAGTTCCAATCCGGTGGATGAACACACGTTGGTTTCGGTGTTCATGCAGGGTCTTGCGGATGGTCCCGTCAAGACTCACCTGTTCCGGCTTGAACTAGATTCACTAGAACAAGCCATTTCCATTGCGGAGCAGGAAGACTTCAGTCTGAGACAGGCTCGCGCCAGCTCGACATCATATCGTCAACCGAGACGATATGACAACGGAGGTCCAGAGCCGATGGAACTCTGTTATGTAGAGAGCGAGAAGGCTCGCTCTACAGGCTACAAGAAGTTGCAGAGATGCAACAGATGTCAAAAGACAGGACACTACGCTTACGAGTGTAGTGCCCCTCGTCCAGTGTCTCGCGACACTGGGCGTAGTGACCGTCCACCCATGAGAAAGGGGCAGGGACGAGGGTCCGCAGTTGGTGCAAAGACGCAACAACGGGATGGACCGTCAAAAAACGGACAGGATCAGTAGGTGCGGAGCACCCTACTGGTCTAGCAACGTCAAGAGAATTTGTGGGCCTCTTGATGAAGGTTGCTCCCAACACACAAACGTTGTGCGTTGCTGCTCTAGGTAATGAGGTCTCACTCATTACCTTGAAACTCGAAGTGACGAATAAGTTGTCCCTTCGAGCTCTAGTCGATTGTGGGGCGTCCAACAATTTTGTGCGACGCCGATCGCTAGAAGATGGTCACTTTAAATTCAGTGAATGTGACACACCTCCTACGAGGATGACGGTACGTCTTGCGACAGGCGCATCCGTAACCGTCATGAAGCGTATAGTGAAGATCCACTATACGCTAGAAGATACCCAATATGACGATGACTTTATCGTATTGGATTTGGATGACAAATTTGATGTCATCCTTGGAATACCGTGGCTCAGAAGGTACGAACCACGGGTAAACTGGCAACATCGGACAGTAACGATGCCTGCCGCTTGTTCATCAGATGGCCATCTGATGAACGTTTTGGAGCGTCCACAAGCGTGTGGATGTACTACGAGTGAGTGCGATGGCCTCACTTGTGGTACGGTCGTTAGTACGACTGCACAAAACCTTAGTGTACCAAACGGTTACACTTCGGAGCAAAGTTCCGGCGGCTGTGAGGAAACACAGTCTGCGCCGAAGGTCCACCACTCGAATAAGTCGGGTGGACTGGGACAAAGATGTATCCCTAGCGGGTAACATCTAGAAGAGAAACAATCGATCGCTCAGGTTAAGCGAAACGATAATCCTAGATCGACTGGAGAGTCTTTCGTAGAGGATCTCGCTGTGGTTGCGCAACCACAGCTAGAGGAAGTAAAGGGAATAAGTCCCGATATTACAAATACGGCGGAAATAAGTTCCCCGAAACCCGCGGGAATAAGTCCCCGGGAAGCCGAAGGAATAAGTACTTCGAGGCCTGAGGGAATAAGTCCCCAGGAAATGACAGAGACATTGAATGTCATAGTCAATAACGGATCAAGTGCAGGCGCTTATACACTTGATCTGATTGCGCCTCCGAAGTTAACTTCGGAGATCACTCAGTTGCCAACGCTCGAACATAAAAGGTTCTTGCGTGATCTGCGTAGTGGCAAAGTCAAGCAGATCATCATACTCGTCGCTGACGACGAGTATGTAACCGACATAAGGTCAGCAACAGTGTTTACTGAGAACGAAAGAGTTCTCAGTAGTTCATCTATGGACGAGAATGTCCTAGATGAAAAGACACGAATTGAGCGATATGACTCGCAATCGTGGGAATCGCTCAAGAAAAATCCTCTCTATGAAGATTTGGTTGAATTCAAGGATGTATTCCCTGAAACTGTTCCGTGCGAATTACCGAAGGATAAAGGTATTCGACACGAGGTCGAGCTTAAACCAGGCTCGAAGTACTGTGTCATGAAGCAGTGGCCACTGCCTCGTGAACAAGTACTTGCGATCGACAAGTTCTTTGCCGATCGTTTAGCTGCGGGCCATGTGAGGAAATCAACTTCCCCACATAGCTCTCCGACCTTCTGTGTGCGAAAAGCAACAGGAGGGTGGCGGATAGTGCACGCGTTCAACAAATTGAACGCTGCAACGGTACCGGCTTAGACGCCGATACCGAGGAAGGACGTAATCATTGATGGTATGTCAAAGAGTACCATCTTTTCGTCCATGGATTTGATGGATGGCTTCTATCAAATCCTTATGCGGGAACGGGATATACCCTATACCGCAGTTAGCACGCCTAGCGGCATGCTCTGGGAATGGCTAGTAATGCCACAAGGGGTCAGTAATGCCCCTGCCACGTTCAACAGATGTGTATCACATCTGTTGAGACCAGTACGAGAATTCGCGCCGAGTTATTTCGATGACGTATTCATCCATAGTCGGACTATGGATGGAAAGTCGGACGTTGAGGTTCACAGGTACCACGTCCGACAAGTTCTTACAATCATGCGAAAGCATCAAGTGTATGCTAACCTCAAGAAGTGTATATTTGCAGCAAGCGAAATACCACCTCTTGGGTGCATCGGTGGTAAGAACGGTGTACGTCTTGATCCCGAAAAGATCAAGGCGATCACCGACTGGCCTGTGCCGGTCGATGTCAAAGGTCTTCGAAAATTCCTTGGGCTAGCGGCGTATTTGCATAAGTATCCACGCAATTACGCCGAGATGACTGTGCACCTCTCTCGTTTGTTGAAAAAGAACGAGAGGTGGTTATGGAACGCTGAATGTCAGCGCTCCTTTGATGGTATCAAGCAGAGCTTGATACAATCCCCAGTCCTAGCAATAGCCGATCAGGACAGGCCATTTCATGTGGTCTGTGATGCCAGCGATTTCGCAATCGGCTGTGCATTAATGCAGTACGATCTTAAAGGTTGAACGCGTCGTCTGCTATCAGTCGCGTCAGCTGCAACCAGCTGAGCGGAACTATCCAGTGCATGACAAGGAACTCCTTGCCATGAAGTATGCACTCGCGAAGTTCAGAGTCTATCTATTAGGAGATAGACCCTTCGTTGTTTACACTGACCATGCGTCATTACGCACGGCAGTGAACAGCCCGCACCTTTCACAACGAATGGCGCGGTGGTTGTCATTCTTTGCGGAATACAACTTTACGGTCGAGTACAAACCAGGACGACTTAATGTCGTCGCTGATGCACTCTCACGTCGTCCCGACTTTGAAACAGTCGCGAAACCCAACAGTGAGACAGTCACTGTTGCGGTTATGACGTCCTCAGTCCCATCTACAACGTTGTATGATGATGTGAGGCGGGCATACGCCCAAGATGGTGAGATAGTGAAATTGTTGACACATCTCTCCCAACCATCCCGAGAATCATTGAAACGATTGTCGCCTGCGTATCGATCTGCATCAGATCGATACACTACTCGTAACGGTTTACTGTATTGTACAGCTGTTACTGGTGACACACCACGTGTTGTCATTCCAGATGATACTGATCTGCGTTTGCGGATCATGTTCGAGTATCACGATGCTCCTATGGGAGGACATCGTGGCCGAGAGAAAACATATCTCACGGTGAGTCGAGACTTTTACTGGCCCCGCCAGTATCAGTTTGTGCGAAAGTATGTTCGCGCATGCGAAGTCTGTCAACGAGTGAAGTCAAGTCCTTCACTGCGTGCACCTTTACAGCCTCTACCGGTTCCGGCTGAGTGCTGGGAATCCATCTCAATGGATTTCGTCTTCGGGTTACCCAAAGACGCACGCGGGAATACGGGTATTCTCGTTTTCGTTGACAGATTCAGCAAAATGGTACACCTTGGGGCTGTACCAGAGTCAATCACGGCAAGTGGCTGTGCTTGTGTCTTTATTGACACCCTCTTTCGACTTCATGGGTTGCCCCGTGAACTCGTATCAGACAGAGATCCACGATTCACTGCTGATTTCTGGCGTTCCGTGTTCAAATCACTCGGAACGCGCTTGAAGATGTCAACATCTGATCATCCAGAGTCAGATGGTCAGACGGAACGTGCCAATCGTGTCCTTGAAGAGATACTTCGAAGATACGCACACTCCTTTAAAAGTTGGAGTGAGTTTTTGCCAATGGTAGAGTTTGCCATCAACAACTCGGTGCATGCGTCCACGTCACATACACCGTTTTACGTGAATGGCTTGCGCCATCCGCGTGTACCCACCTTACTAGAGTGTAACTCTGGTTTAAGGGGGGGATGGACTCGCGCGAGCAAAAACCGATTTGGTTCACGCTCATCACGCTCTGACGAGGAAGTCATTGCGTTTGATGCCGATATCGATAACATCGATATCGAAGAAGATGATGCCAGTGAGAGTGCGGAAGCCCTCACTGAAGAAGAGGTTGATGTTGCTGCAGTGCGCTCACAGCACACTGAAGCTAACGAGTCATCAGATGAGTTCATACTGGCTCGTGAAACGGTAGTCCGTTTTATGCAAGATTCCATCGCCGAAGCGGTGGATAAGCAAAAGCAAAACGCTGATAAGAATGGAAGGGCAAACACTCTTTTATTTAATAAAGGTGACTTAGTCCTACTGTCTACGGTTAATCTACCGAAGCATGTAATGACTAACTTGGGTAGCAGTAAACTACTACCTAAGTACATCGGCCCATTTCGTGTATTGCACCGCCTAGGCAATGCATACACGATCGAGTTACCACGTAAGATGCGAACGCATCCCACGTTTTACGTTGGTCGGCTTAAGCCGTACCATCAGTACGCTGCTTCTTCCGATGAAGAACGCCCTTGCGCTCAAGCATCTCGCAGAGAGCCTTGTGCTCCCGATGGTGGGCATCAACAAGGGTCTGAAGAGCAGCTATCTCATCCCGAGACCGATCAACAATCCCACGAGCTACCCTTAGCTCGTCACGAAGAGATGTCAGAGATCTCTCGTTCTCAAGCTGAGCAAAGGCAAACTCAGCTCGATGCTTCGAAGCAGTGTCCGCCATTTGGAGACGCCTATTCCGCTCATGTTCGAGATCGTTGCGTAACCCTTGCGTTACGCGATCAAAGAAGCTCTCAGGAACACACCGATCCACATGATCGTGTGGAGAGCGTCTTCACTCCTCCTCCACCTCCATTAGAGGACTCTCGCGGTGGCCAGCGCTATCTAGTTGAGCAGCTGTTGAACTACCGCGACGTGAACGGACGTCGGACGAGTTATCTCTTCCGGTGGCGCGGCTATCCCCCGTCCTGGGATTCTTGGGAGCCCCGCTCTAAAATGATGATCGACGTACTGGGTCTGATTGAGCAGTACGACGCGGCACATCCTGTGCCGCAGAAGGACCGCCGGAGAAAGTCTTCCCGGCACGGTCGTAAAGGGATTTCAAGTTGTCAATCTCTTCGTACATCTCAGTAGAGATACGTACGCGCCACCACGGGCTATTAGGGAGGTAAGCCTCCTTAGGTGCTCGTGCAGAGTTGTTTACACAACAAGGGCACGGGTCTCCCCAGGAAAGACAGGGTAGCCCACCCTCCTTTGACAGACGATGCAGCTTATAGCGTCCACCTGTCGGGGTTCGCTTTTCAAACTTATCACGAGCTTTGATAAGTTTGTCATTCCAAACGTCACGAACTACATCCTCAAGGTTGTGGATGTAAGCGTTCCACGCTTGAAGCAGTGAGGGACCATCACGTTTGTGATTCCCACTGTACCATCGATGTTTAAAGAAAGCATCGATGAAGAAATCGCTCTCAGCGCGATAGTTTTTCGCGCTGGGGTCAAGGTGATGGATCCTTGACGAATCGAACAACCGTGTTCGATAACGATCACTCGTCGTCGCCGACAAGTGATCCATGACTGATTTAGGAGGCATCCATGCCTTCTTCTCGGGAGCGAGACACAACACATTGCGGTCCCGCTCTTCCTGCGATGTGCCGACAGAAGTACTGGCACCTCGCTGTGAAGTGGTGTCCATTGGAGAACCGACACCACTGTTAGCGCCCGAGTCTCGCGACCTCGAGCGCCTTCGCTTCGGCGATGGTTCATCTGATGAATCAGATGAACCAAAGATGCTGCGATGCATAGCATCATCCATGCCACGTTTGGCAGGCGGCTTAGATTCAATCGCCGTCGATACGGATCCGTCTTCCGTATCAGGAGAGTATGAGACACCGAGCTCATACTCTGTGAAGACATGAGTGTCTTCATGACCAGCGCCTGTATAACCAAGTGACACAGGCTGAGTCGCTTCAGCAACAGATGAGACATCAGTTGCTGTGGTTTCTGCTTCGGCGTCCGCGCAGAGACGTGCAGACGCGCTCTCGGCGGCCTTGCTCGCGCATCGCATGGGCTTGTTAACCATGCGATGAAATGTTGGAGAGTGGACTCGAACCGACAAGTGCAAACCCTGTCCCAAATGATTTGGGACGAGTATCCATTTAGTCAATCAGTCACTAAAGTGACTGATGGTTAAGGGGGGGTGATGTAACGGGGTGAATCGTTACATAACAGTTTATAAGAAATTGTTAATAGAATATAACTATAAGAGTTATATTCTCAGAATATTGTCATAAGGACAAATATTCTGTAGCACTTACGAGTAGTTCCTAATTGGTTGATATAGGCCATTATATCAACCAACGAAGACGCGCCACGACAGACGCACGCAATGAGTGGTGAGCAGATAAGTGACTTACACATTTGTATTTAGACATAGTTAGATGAAGATAAATAGTGATTTATTGCAGACATTAACTATTATAAATACAGTTCTACTTTTTACTCTAACCGAGTACTCGCTTCTTCTTACCGTCTTCCTCTGCACGTACGAGTGTACGTGAAGTTACGAGGCACCGCCTTATTCTGTCATCAGAATAAGTAGCTTGTACTGTCACCAGTACAAGCTTCAGGGTGCCCCGTTACATGTGGTCGCCTTCGTTTGGCTTATTAATCCCCTGTTAGGCTCAACGGCATATAGTTGGTAGTGTTCACTAAAAATACGCCATCGACTTCAAATTGATCGTTCTTGTCCATGAACTGCAGCCAATGACATGCAACTAACCTTTGCCAATGACCTGATTATCATAAGTAATGAGCCGATGATATGCAGATAAAAATTTATCTTTGGTGTCACAGAACTACTAACGTAGGCGGGATTTCGAATAATTAACTTTTTCTCGAGTTATTTCGCTGCCTTGGCGCACTTTAGTGAGTAAGATAGGAGAGCAAGCTCTGGAGCTCGCCCTTAGATGTAAGTAATCCAGTTCGTAGATCTCAATCAAGTTGCAAAACATTATACTACACCACTCACCGAAGAATGCGTACGATGCTGTTAATGTATGTAGTAACCTAGTACAGTGTACTCGAGGAACGTGATCAGCCTGTGCTTATGAGCGTCCAGCAATTGATTTTGTGACCACATGCACTTTTGATCGATCTTAAGCCATTGGCAAGCGTGCGCTGCAATGGTGACCTAGCCAAAGGGTGACCTTGGATACGCATATATGCTCATGACCATATTCACCTTTTGATCGATTACAAATCAATCACATGCGTGCATCACAATGTTGACCCAGCCAAAGAGTGACTTCGTATGTGCCAACATACCTATGAGAGGCCACAAACTAGATCGCACTTAATGCGTGAAAAGTACACCTAACCGCGTTATGATAGACACACACACACAGATAAGTACAATAAAAAGCTCCGTATTCACCTTGCGCACAGTCACTAATAGCTTTACGCTTCGGGTTCGCAATCATATTTGACCTTCGCTTATGTTTCGGTGGAGTTGGCAAGCGCCGATGTAGTACTCATTGTGCATCTCTATCGATGCAAAGTGCGGGAAAATACAGCCAAGCCTCAGCCAGATGGAAACGATTACTACAAGCTGCATGGTGGGTGCTTCTTTTGCACGCAGACACCTAACCACTCACATGCGACACGATGTATATCCTCTGGACAACATGGCAATTGACCTTAACAAAGGTCCTATCTCCGCCCTTCAATAAATCAGCGAAGGGTCTTCTTAGTCCACAACAGATCAAAACAACTTTCAAAGTGACGAGTTTGTCAACCACTATTGTTTTAACGAAACAGTTAGAAGTATAGAGTTGAAAGCTACGTTGTCGTTGCGCTTGAAGCAAGTTTACTGGCTTTTAGGCTGTATCTCCTTGATAGACGACACATTCACCATCGCCGGCGACTCCTGGTTGTAGATGGTGACTTCGTAGTCCAAGGGCGTGTGGCAAACGCCAGGGCGGCAGAAGCCCAAGAGTTCGTTCCCGTCCACACAGCAGCCCTTCACTTCGTACCTGTAGTTCGTACCAAGCATGTCCTGCGTCGCCACCTTTCCAAATTCTGTAAAGCAGATGCGGATGGTCACGTCCGCATTGTACAGGCTTGGATGGCATGCAGTCGTCGTCAGGAACGCGACCTCGTTCAGGGTCATAGCTCGTGACGCGCTGTAGCTACCCACCATCGCGTCAGGCTCTGGTAGTAGCCCTTGGGCATCCGTCGAAGATAGAGCCAGTCCAGCAAGAAGGGCAAACGAGCGGATGTACGTCATGTCAGTGGAGGAGGTCGGGTGGCCTTGGGCTGTTTAGATCACGACTGCAGAGCTTGAAACGAACGGATTAGTAGACCGTGCAGTCGTCCTTGGCAGTGAATAGTAGAACGTAGTTGAAGACCGTGGAATCGTTGCAAGCAGTTCCGAAGACCGCACGCTAATGACGGTTGCATGATATGCCATCCGTTCGTTTGTCTCAGTATGACTGATCGCAATGACAGTTGACGATGCAAGGATCCATTGCATCGGACACATCATAGCAACTCGATACATCTGTGTTGTAGTGGCGACTTTGGCGTGAACAGACGGAGGAGGGCAGATCTCTGTGATCAACAACCCACGAGCTGAGGCTTCACTCACCGACGTCGTCCAAGCGTAGGGAGTGCGTTTTTGCCGTGACATCGAATTCACAACCGTCGTACTGATTGCTTTGCTATGTACAATGTAAGTGTCCACGCGTCATCAACGGCATCGCGATGGGTCGAACTGGGAAGCACACTGACTTGTAGGCCGTGTGCTGTCATTATTCGGGTGTAGCTTGTTTCCAATACAAGCGTCGATGGGAAGTGGCAGCGACGATGCACTGCCGCTTGGTAAGCTTCAAAGAGAAGACTAGACCGACAGACAACGATCCCCACGGTGCATACTAAACGACGTTGTAACATGACCTTGCGGCATTTGTCCTGAAGAGGTTTGTAGGAGATCGCACGCTGGACAGGAGTTCCACTACAGTAGTCACGAATCCATGTTGCATGCTTTGCAGCGATGTCCTTCGCAACGGTGGGTGCAGTGATCCCTTACGCCGTGCATTGTCCATGGAAAGTCGTTTGCAAAGAAGGACGTACGTGGCATGTCGAATCCATACAGGGCGCAAATGACGATTTCGTTGTCGACTGGATAGGACGGCGCCTTAATATCCGGAATAGAGGCACCAGGAATAGTGTTGAATCGTTACAATCCCTTCCGTGCCTGATGTCGCTTTTCGCATACCTTTTTGTGGCTGAAGTTGCACTCAGCAGATAGTAGCATCTTGGATTGTGACACAAATTGTGACAGAGATTGTGACATGGACTGTGGCAGTTCAGCGCCCGCCTTCGTTTTGTTGTTGATTGCAGCTTGAACCAGCATCAGTGCATTGCAGCTGATGACCAGAGTCCACGAAATAGCTGATGCCGTAATCACAGTGACAATTGGAAGCTTACGAGCGCACGATTGGACCCTAAGGAGTCTCGATGCTGATGGATTCATGCGACAGACTGTGGGTACCAGCTGACTCTGTGCTGCACTTAAAGTCATGGCATCGGGTACACCTCATGGAATCGGAGTGCAGGATCGGGCTTTCTTTGCTTTTGTCCCACATTAGTACGATCAACTGCCACGCCTTGCACTGAAGCAAAAGTGTGTTGTGACAGAGAGACAGAACCTGTCTTGGTCGCACT